ATAGATAGATATAACTGTCAGAGTTGCACTGTAAGTCTGCTGGAATGGGGGGTTTCAAGCTCATGGAAAATTTGCATGGGAAGAATGTGCTTGGTGCCGTGCTTTCCATTTATGAAGGACTTTATCATACATATTAAAATTTAGTATTGCATTGTTACACGGAATGGTTGATTTTTATGTTATCTTTAAAAATTATTCACAATATGATGCTTTTTTCATAAATATTGAATTATAATTTATTCCATTTCTGTATTAACCCTTTCAGGGTCCAAGGCCAAAATCTGAAGGGGTGCCCCAGTGTCCAAGAAATTCTGAAAAAAAAAAGATTTTTTCTTACAGAATTAAAGATAATATTTTTGTGAAGGTAGTAAAACAAAAAAAAATGTTGTGATCAGTACTTACCAAGATACCGAGTTGACCCAAAATGAACGGGTGGCGGCAACATCAGCGACTTCCGCGAAATCGCATTTTTTTTATTTTATGCCTTTTATACTTTTTTCTTTTCTATTTTTTCTTTTTCTAGTAACATTTGTGGCCTGTGAGACCAATATAATGTATATTGTATCAGTGTACAGTCATTGTATTCAAAACAATAACTGCACTAATTTGTTTAGCATTATATTGCTTACAAAACTTGTTTACAAGTTAATTGTAAAAAAAATGATGAAAATATTAGTGCGGTTATTGTGTTGAATACAACAGTACCATATGGTACAATGGTGCCATATGGCACAATATGGTACAATGGCACCACTTGGTACAATGGTACCATATGATACAATGGTACCATATGATACAATGGTACCATATGGTGCAATGGTACCTTATGGCACCTTATGGTACCATATGGTGCAATGGTACCATATGGTACAGTGATACCATATGGTTTATTGCACCATATGGTACATTGTACCATATGGTGCTGTTTGGTACTGTTGTATTCAACACAATAAACACACTAATATTTTCATCATTATTTCATTTACAATAATTGTTTACAACAAAAATATGCAAAAATGTTGTATATTAGTAATGTTCTATTATATATTTACAAATGTACAGGAACTCGACATGTTCCTTGAGGTGGATGACAAAGCACTTTGTCTTGGAAATTGCGGAGTCAGTGACTTGCGTCGCCACTCACTCAGTCTTGGTTGGTGCCTTGTGGCATCAACACCTACTGATCATATGGTACACGGTATCATATGTTACAGGGTACCATGTGGTACAGGGTACCATAAGGTGCAGGACACCATATGGTACAGATACAGTGATCCCTATGGAAATAAGTCACCATGACTTTTCTGGGTTATCCTAGGATTTTATACATGTGCTACTATATATGATAATCTCTGTAACTGTATTTGTGTACACCTGAATAAACTTACTCAAGCACATGTGGCATCGTAAGTTTATTTAGGTATACACAAATACAGTTACATAGATTATCATACATAGCAGCATATGTTTGGAGAACCTAGGATAACCAAAAAAAAGTCAGACAGACTTATTTCCATTAGGGCCCCTGTACAATGTATCATATGGTACAATGTGCCATATGGTATAATGTATGATATGGTACAGTGTACTATATGGTACATTGTACTATATGGTACATTGTACTATATGGTACATTGTACTATATGGTACATTGTACCATATGGTACCATTGCACCACATGATACCATTGTATGACATGGCACCATTGTACCATATGGTGCCAGTGTACCATATTGTACAATGGTACCATATGGTTCAAAACCATAGAATTCCTCTTCAGATCAACTTCCATCAGTCTTAGAACTGTAAGTTGTGAAGAGGAGAGTCAGAATTCACCCAGAGAGTGAGTGGGGAGTGAGAGCTTCCTTGCCGCCAGGCATGATGAACAAAGCTATTTTGGCGGTGTTCCCACAATGCCATGCAGGCGTCCAGATTTTTTCTATAGTGCGCACACTGACCACCCAGACCCATTCTCTCAGATGTAGGCCTACCAGCCTTCTTGCGCTAAATTTGATGCCGCTAGAATTTTGGCGTAGATCTACGGTTTGGACCCTCACTGTAAAGCCGTAGATCTACGGCACGGACCCTGAAAGGGTTAAAATACAGTGCATTATTTGTATTAAAATAAGGTAAATTTTATTGGAGTTAATGAGATCAGCTCAGTACTGTAATGGAATTTTAATTAATATTAACAGTTGGTAGATGCAAGATACACTATAAAAGTGTAACACAAATAATTAAAACTAATAATTAAAACTAATTATCACATATATTGGTTTATTATATCTAAATACTAGTGTATAATCCTTATGGTACAATGATAGAGTTGCTGGCTTGGGTTTTGACTCGTCTCATTCAAGTCTCCTGACAACTCTTGAAAAAGAAAAGGTCTTTAATCTTTACCATAATAGCAAGTGAGTTTGGTTAAATTCGCTTTGAAAGTACAGTGGTACCTCAGGATACAAATTTATTTCATTCCAGAAGGCTGTTCGAGTTCCAATACCGAACGAATTTGTTCCCATGTGGAATAATGTAAATTAGATTAATCCATTTCAGACCCCCAAAAATACACTCACAAAAGCACTTACATAAATACACTTACATAATTGTTCGAGTTTTGAGCTGTTTGTATCCCGAGGTACGACTGTATTTTTTTTTTCCATAAAAACAGTTTCTATGTTAAGATGGGACTGAAACTTTGATATTCTGATTAATGCCTATCTAATTGCTACAGATACAATATTGTACAATATTGTACTGTACTTCAGTTGCATTTCATGCATTTTCAATTTTTCTTGCAATTGAAAATTTCACAAAATGTAGCATCACAATAATTGTTCATAATTTCAATGCAGTTTTTCCAAAGAACACCATAGCAATGGCTTTTATTACCATCCTAATGATGGTATGGAAGGTATAACAGGAAGTAGCAGCAGCTGCTGCTACCACTATACTTGATGCTGCTAGCATAGCTGTTGTTCCTATGCATGCATATCTGGTTGATCCTTCATTTGATTTACTGTTGGTCAGTGGAGTGGTGCTTCTGATCCTGGAGAAGAAAATACTCATTAAATCATTAGTATATATAATTTTTTCTCTCAGTAGACTCAGAGGTCTCTAGTCCTGTGGGACAAAATACCACAGATTTCCTCAAAGAATTGTTGCTGCATCCTGGGCTCTTGTCCTGTCTCCAAGGAGCTGGATGAGATTTATACCCAAGGTTAACTGTCTCTTATGTACAGTAGATCTAAATTATTGATGCTAGTGTTGCTCACAGATTATATTTTAAGCACAGTGCCCTCAGATATGCTGTGAGCTGTAAATTTTGGCTTGTGCATGAGAGAATGGGTCTGTGGTGAGTGTGCACAGTATAAAAAAAATATCCTGTCCCATGTGGTGCATAATGGGAAAAGCAAACCTCTGACCTTGAGTTTGGTTTAAAATGGCAAATCTGAGATGTTTTCTAGGATTTTTTTTTTATGGTTTTATTGGCTGTTTCTTAGTATCATTTGATAGAATATAGGATATGCTACTGAAATAGACCTCTTCAAGGGGGGCTCCTTGGCGTGGTGAAGAGGCTCTTGGTCTGAGGAATTAGCCCTGTCGGTCTTCTTCCTCAGACCGAACCTAATTACCCCCCATTCTCCCCTCCCCTATCCCATCCTCCCCATCCTCCCCTTTTTCCATTCCTCCTCCTCCTCCTCACCCCTCCCTTTTGCCCTTCCTCTTTTTAGCCTTCGTGATTTCTCCCACAGGCGTGCTAGTTCCTAGGTAGGGGAAAGGACACCGGGGTCGATCCCATTCCGTTGAGGTTTCTTGGCGGTGGCGTAGTTTGCCGTGGAATCTGGATTGCCTAGGGATGTCCCGATCCCTCTCCGGTATCCCGGAGTAGCTTTGGGTGTCTTTTGGGCGAGGGTGTATCTCTGGAAGCCACCTTTCGGATTCCGGGGGTGGTGGCTGAAGGAGGTATGCTTTGTGGCGGATATCCGGCCGCCCTCTCTTTTGTCCACCCGGGGGGCTCGGCAGATGTGAGGTTGCTATCCG